ATTCTTGAATGCTTTTAGTTTTACAATATAGTGTTATAGTTATTAACTTAATTAAACTAAAACATGTTTTATTACTGAATTATTCAACATTAACCAACCAAGTTTTATTAGAAGTAATATTGAACAATTAGGAAATGGAATTTAAAAAAAAGATTTAGAAAGCTTGTTTCTTTTCTAAAGAAACTAACATTGCCTTTCTTTCTAGAAAATCAAGGAAAAATGAATAAATGAATGAAGTTACCTGATTCTCTTTAGCCTGAAAAATGCTGCAGTTGTCATTGGGTAGTAAAAAACCTATAAATGTTCATTTCATGCATTCATATGAGTTCAGTATGTGCCGTAAAGAATTCTTTCCTTTGGGAAAAGTATGCTGACCTTCATAATTTCAGTTATTATACATGCAGGAATCACCTTGGTATTTTTCTTCCTTTCTGTGTTATCTCTCCAAATAAAGCTGGTGTGAAGTTTTTAGTTTCCCAAATTTTCTAATAGTTCTACTGGATCTCTGGAATTCCCCCTAGGAAATTACCATATTTACACCGTAGAAATAAAGATGCCATTATTAGTCCAGGCTTTTTCAGGAATCTAGTTTTGAAAGTTATTGTTTATTTATTGTACTTCCTATTTGACAAAGGTGACCAGACATCCCGATTCTCGCGGGACAATCACGCTTCCACACAATTTGTCCCTTGTCCCGGGGCATTCTTAAAAAGACCCGATTTTTGTGACCGGACCCGGAAGTAAGCCTGCCCCGCCCCCAGCCCTGTATACCCGTCCCAGCAGGCCGGTATTCTGTCCCTTCTGTCTCCCCATTGCTCAGAAAAGCAACTCTGAGAAGGTCCTTTGCTAGAAGGCAGGTTCTAAGATGCCTGCCACCACCAAAGAACCTTCCAGGAGTTGCTTTTCTGAGCAATGGGGAGACAGAAGGGACGCAATCTCCTTTCATTCTCCCTCTGCCTCATTCACTCGTTTGGGCAGCAGAGAAAGAAAATTGCATAGTCGAGGACAAAGGAGCCTGCAGCCTCCTTCATTGAAACGTTCAGGCAGCGGGGATGGGGGGGCTTTCTCGCATGCCTTCTTTCTCTGAAGCCACGCTGGATTCAGCGCATGCCCTTGGGATTGTGCAACAGCCGAAGATCACCTGGTTAAAAAGGAGGAAGAGGAGACTCTGCTAGTCCGGAGCTCATCCATGGGGGAACACAAACACAAACACACAAACACACACACACATGGAGGGAGGAGAGACAGAGAGAGACAGACACACACAGAGAATGACAGAGAGAGAGACAGAGGGAGGGAGGGAGGAGTGAGTGAGGATGGCGGATTTTCTAAACCCCATTGAATCCAGAGGAGGGGAGAGAGAGAGGGGGGGATTTTCTAAAAGTTCCATTGAATCCAGAGGAGGAGGAGGAGGAGGAGAGAGAGGGGGGGAGTGTGTGCACAGGAGTGGGGATTTTATAAAAGTCCCATTGAATCCAGAGGAGGAGGAGTGTGTGTGTGTGTGTGTGTGTGTGTGTGTGTGAGAGAGAGAGAGAGAGAGAGAGAGAGAGAGAGAGAGAGAGAGAGAGAGAGAGAGAGAGAGAGAGAGAGAGAGAGAGAGAGAGACTATCACTAAGTGTTGTAGCTTATGATTCTTGAATGTATTCTATTTTTTTTTATGTACACCGAAGACAAATTCCTTGTGTGTCCAATCACACTTTGCTAATAAACTATTCTACTCTACTCTACTCATTTCTATTTCAATTCTAATAAGGAGTTTAGCTTCTCTCTCTTGAAAATGTAAGCTAGCATAAGCTAGCATAATGCAAGCTAGCTTTAGCTTTCAAACAATTCATTTAGTGACCAAAGTTACAATGGCATTGAAAAAAGTGACTGATGACCATTTTTCACACTTAGAGACCATTTTTCACACTTAGCGACCATTGAAGCATCCTCATGGTCACGTGATCAAAATTTTGATGTTTGGCAACATATTCATATTTATGATGCTTTCAGTGTCCTGGGGTCATGTAATCGCCTTGTGTGACCTTTTGACAAGCCCCCCCCCCGCCTCCGGTCAATGGTGTCCCTCTTTACCAATCTGAAAATCTGGTCACCTTATATTTGACTTTTCTTTGAAAGATCAAATCAGAATACACAATGAAGCAGCTTTGTAGATCTAAATATTTTTGTATTGAAATTTCAAAGATTGATTTTGTTTGAAATGTGTTCATTTCCCTTTGAGACAGAAGGACTGAATCATTTAGGTGCACTACTAGAAGTTTTCCCCCCTTTTCTTTTGGCATTTTTTGAGGTTACTTGGCGAGAATAAAGCTGTTTTTTAAAAAAATAATGACTTAATTTGGAATGCAAGAGACAGGATCTGTTATGAGAACCCAGTATTCCTGGGGAAAATTTTGAGACCTCCAGCAAGTTATACTATGGTCTGAGTCAGCTTTGCTACATGCTGTTATATCATGCCAGTTATATGGTCAAGTGCATAAAAAAGGGCAGGAAATAGCAGAAATTAATTTTCTTATCTTTTATTTATTTATTATTTTATTTTTCAATTTCTATAGTTGACCATGTCAATTCAACTGAATCTGTAAAATAATGTGATCTCCTCTTTTACCACTTTGTAAACACATAAACACCTGAAAGAAATGATTATGTGAAAATTAAGAAAGCCCAAGAAATCATAAAATTACCTAACTAACTGACCAATTTTTCCTAATGGTTGCAAACAAGAAGGACAGTTGGAGTTTTGGTTTAAATGCTTAATGAATCCAGAATTCACACTTCTGAACACATATGCCTATAATTACCCAAAGTTGTAAACTTGAGATGGAAAGAAAACTAGTTAGTGAGAGTTAATGCTGAGATCCACAGTCATCAACATTACTTGAATCTTGTTAAGTTTTATGATATTTTCCAAATGTGTCAAAACTGAATTTGCAGGTCAACTCAAGAAAGTTCACCACAAAATGATGTCCAAATAAAATAGGTTGAGAGTTTATTAAGAAATATGGCAGTAAATACCATGTTTTCCCCAAAACAAGACAGGGTCTTACTTTCTTTTGACCTCCCAAATAAGTACTTGGTGTTATTTTGGGGGCGGTCTTATTATTTTTGAGGTGGTGAGAATGGTCACCTCGGGCTGCTGCTATATTGCAATATTTTTGGGGAGGGCCTATCTTCAGGGGAGGGCTTATTTTAGTGCACACACTCAAAAGTCTGTTTGGGCTTATTACCTGGGGAGATCTTATTTTGGGGGAAATGGTACTTCAGTAGTACCTTTCTTGCACCTTTGAATGTCATTCATGTATGAATTCCAATTACTAATTTCCATTTCCTACTAAATAATTTGTACATCTCATAATGTCCTCAAATTTTAGTGAGTCATAATATCCATTCTATGCTCTTCATGCAACAGTGATCCATATTAAGCCCAAGGCCTCTAGTGAAATGCTGAAATCTAATCTAAGCTACAATGATTTATCTGGACTCTCCATTGTTAATTTATTGATTGATTATGCATTTACACCAATACAAGAAGCAATGTTTTAATGAATTTCAATTTTGAAGCTAGTATAAAGATGTATAAAGAAAAGTTGGTTTTTAAAGCAGTACAAGAAAATAAAAAAATATCACTCTAAAAGTCTATCAATGTAACTAATGAATAAATATCATACATAAAAAACCATAAGAAAACATAAAAATATAAAACCAGATTAAAACGTAACGAGGTAACAAATTTGGCATGATGATAAAAGCAAATAAAGTAAAATAAAATATATAGGAACAAAACATACACATTTTAAAACAAGAAAAATGATTATGCACATGAAAATTTAAGGAGTTTTACTTGGAATTGAAAAGACTGTAACTTATCTCACCAAGAGAATTTATCTGAGAAAACAGACTACCACTAAAGGAGAATATTTACAGCTCAGAGTTGAAATGAGAATCCCTTAGTGCTCTCTGAGTTTGGTTGTTTCCTTGCAGATCTTTCATTACTGAAACTAGGTGACATTATCAGTGCAGAATGATGTTATCTGGTTTGGGCAAAGAAACATTTGCAAGAAAACAACCAAGCTCAGAGAGCACCAAGAACTCAACATATAGACTACTAAAAATAAATCACTATTAAAAAGTCTCTCTATATATTTCATTAAACTCGGAATTCAAGAAGACATAAAATGATGGATAAAATGCAATCTTGATTGGAGTTAAACAATAAAGAAAGCATATTGCACCTCTTTACATAGTTATACATATTTGTTTTCTGTCAAACAGCATTTCTTGGAGACCTGAAATCTGCAGAGCTCTTTCTCATGGGAAGGCATAGAATATTACAAATATCTGAATGGAGGAGAGAAAAATGCTCTTATGCTATAAAGTATGCCATTAGGGTTTTCTTTTATGTTTTTGCTTTTTTCTAAAATATTCATCTTTTGGCACGTCCATCTCTCATCTTTTTCCTCTATTTCTGTTTTCAATCTGTTCCTATCTTTGATCATTTGTTTTTCTTATTTTTCATCTTTATGGTTTATTTAAAATAATAATAATAAAATTATATAAATAAATAAATATTGATTTGAACATACATACAAAATTCTCTAAAAAAACATGCAAAGCTCTAAAAATGGGGGAAAGTTTCATTCTACTAGCAAGTCTCATGACTGTCATCATAAATATCACCATCAATATCATAATTTATTTATTATTTGGAATATCATACAACCAGAAACTTGAGAGGCCTTACTATACAAAACAATCGTTTGAGATCCATCAAGAGAAGATATTTGGACAATTGTTCTAAAAATATCTGGCTTCAATAGATTATCTAAATGACAATTCATCATATAAAGTAGACTACTAAACTATTTCTATACCAGAGAAATGTTTGTTTGTTTTATTCTTCTATATGGAACAAATTAAGGAATAACTTTCCAAAACATTATGTTCATTTCTCAGTTCCCCATCTGCATATTAATCAGATTGTTTTAAATAAAGCCACTTTACTCAGTATGAGAAATCAAGGGTTTGTAGCCCAATAGCTTTTTTATGGCTTCCTTCACTTCCCTGTTTTTCAGGCTGTAGATTAGGGGATTCAGCATGGGTGTGGAAATGCTATATTGTATACTGATCAGTTCATCCACAATAATTGAGGAGGCTGAGTTGGGCCTCATATACCTAAAACATCCAGTGCTATAATACAAAACCAAAACAATGAGGTGAGCGGTACAGGTAGAGAAAGTTTTCCTTTTTGCTTCTGCAGAGTTCAACTTCAGTATAGTGGAGATGATATGAATGTAGGAAAATAAAATGAAACCAAATGAACATATGACAATGACGCCACCAGTTATGAAGAAGAGTATCCAATTGGAAAGTGTGTCTGTGCAAGATAATGCAAGTAGAGATGGCAATTCACAACTGAAATGCTTGATAAAATTTTCTCTGCAGAAATTGAGCTTTAAAGCAGAAAATGTATTTACAAAAGCATATGAAAAAGCTATTGTCCAGGCACCACCCACCAGCCATCTACAACATGCTTTCTTCATAATTTGTACATAATGAAGGGGTTTGCAAATGGCAGCAAAACGGTCATAAGCCATTACTGCAAGAATGCAAGCTCCATTGCATCCTGTTAGAAGAATAAAGAACACTTGGCCAAAACATGCAGAATATGAAATTGTCTGCCTTGCAGTCAAAATTCCTAAGAGCTTAGGCACAGTGACAGAAGACAAACAAATATCAATAACAGCCAAATGATTCAGGAAAAAGTACACAGGGCTCGAGAGATGACTTGCAACAACCATTATCACTATATTTCCCAATAAAGTTAGCACATAAATAAATAGAAATACAAAAAAGAGGAAGAGATTAATTGGCAAATTATGTGAAAATCCCCAAAGAACAAAGGAAGTGATTGTGGTACTTCAATTTCCTGTTTCCATTTTCAGATGATGTGAAAACTTCAAGAAAAGGAGAGAGAATAAACTGTCAATTGCATCAATGCAATATACAACTAGGGATAGAACAGACAAAAATGGAATGGAGAATTAAATGGCAACAAACCTCTATACTTTCAAAACAACAAATTGATGAATTGAAAATATTGTTTTCTTTGTTTGGCATTGTTTTCAAAACATGTAGGAATTCATATTTGAGTGCAGCATTGATGGATAGATGGGTGGATTATATACCATCAAGTCATGTTGACCTTTAGTGAATCTTAATTTGATTTCTCTTCATATGGATAGGTTAGCTGTAAGGATTCAATACAAATAAATAAAATCAGAAAATAATTATGTTCCCCAGGAAACATGTAAATACAGGACTAGTACTAGACAGGACTCTATGATTTTGTTGTGTTCTAGTACATTTTTGTTCTAGAATCTGAAACCTAGAATTATCTAACTCCCCTGTAAACTCTGCAGAATGTTTCACATATCAATCAAATACTTTAGAGAAAGAAAAAGAAACTTTCCTTTCTAATGCATTGTAAAATTTTCCCTGACATAAAATAGCCTCTAATACGAACTGCACATGGACAGAATTCTCTTCAAAGACTTTCACTCAACTACTTCAACTTCAACATTCATACTTTCTTAATCATATTTAGCCTTTTCAGATTAGAATTGGTTATTCTCATCACCAGAAACTGTTTTATACAATCTTAATAGTGAAAAGATATAAATTGCTGGCAAAGTGACTTTTACTGCAATAAATAAAATTACAAATGACATAAAACAAATCACCATCTCAAATCACAGTATAAATTAACTATTATTTTCATTCTTTTCAGAATGAACATACATTCAACGACATACCTAGCCAACAGCCCCAAGGAAATGGTCATCACATTATAATGTAACTGGAAAACTAGAATGGAACTTACAAGAAATAAGAAGTTAGAATGAAATTTACCTGATTCTCTTTGTTTATTTCTTCAGCTTAAAAAATGCTGCATCTGTTATGTGGCTAAAAACTTATAAATGTTTATTTTATACATTCACATGAGTTCAGCATGTGCAGTGGATAATTCTTTCCTTTGGGAAATTGTTTCTCCTGGCAAAAGCAGACCTTAATAATAATTGATATAGCTGCATATATCAACTTAGTGTTTTACTTATTTTCTGCATTATGCCTCCAAATGCAGATGTTGTGAAGTTTTTATTTCCCCAAATATCCTAATAACTTGCTGAATCTCTGGAGTTTCCCTTAGCAACGAAACATATTTACATCATGAAAGTAAAGATGCAATTACTGATCAAGCTTTCATTAAGAAGACGAGTTTTGCAATCTGTTCTTGTTTATTGTACTTGATATTTGATTTTTCTTTGGAAAAACAAGATATAATACATAATATTCGAGTATTTAAATTTCAAAGATTGATTTTTATTTTTGCCTAATCTGTGAAATTTTCTTTGAAGCTGCAAGGACTGAACCCACTAGTTCCATGGTTACAATACTGAAAGTTGTTTGTTTTCCTTTTGATTTTTTTTTTTCAGGATACTACCTGAGATGAAAATAGCACTAATGACCAAACTGCTATTTGTATTGCAAGAGATAGGATCATAACATAGGACCCCAGAATTCGTTGGGAGCAATTTGAGTTCTATAAGTCTGAGTTAGTTTTGCTGTATGCTGTTATGTTGTATAAATGGTGAGGTCAGGGGCATACTAAAGGGCAGCATATAGCAGAAATATATTTTCATGTCTCTTATTTATCTACTATTTTCTTTATTCAGGTTCTATAGCTGATAATCTCAATGCAATTAATTCTATAAAACACTGTAATCTTATTCATCAGTCTCTGCCATTTCCTAGACCTATAGCATCTGACATGAATATGTGGGAGTAAAGTCAGCCCAAGAAATAATGAAATTATGCATTATGGCCCAATTAGTTGATGAAATTTTCCTAAGAAAAGATTGAAGGATGGACAAGACATGAGGCGGCTGAGGTGAGTTGAACAGCAATTTATTGTAAACAGAACTAGTAAACTATGTACAGGCAGAATTCAGCACCTTGCCCTGCTTGACAGCTATTTATACGAGAGCTGTCAAGCAGGGCAGCCAATAGGAATGCTTCTGGAAGCCCATGCACAGCCAGCTGCACTTAGCCAATCAAGTGCAGCAAGGCTGTTGCCAGCTGTCAGTCATAAGTTGAGGACTTGTGTCCAGTCATAAGTTGAGGACTTGTGGCCAGTCATAAGTCGAGGACTTTAGGACTGATCATAAGTCGAGGACTTAGCACTCTTTCCCCCCCTAGTGAGGACACATCCGTGAAGGTTGCTTATGCATAATTACTTAAGTAGGCGGGACAGTGGTGGACCTGCCCAGAACGCCTCAGTTCCAGTGGTGTCGTCAACGGGGTAAGAGGTCCCTGTAGAAGCTCCTCCCTGAAGGAAGTGTAGCTCCAGGTGATGTCATCTGGGCCTACCCCCAAAAGTGGATTCAACGGCACAGGTAGGACGGGATAAGGGACGTATCCAATGGAGGCAGATTAGAGTGAGTCTGCTGGTAGGTGTTGGTCGGGTAGGCGAGGCCTGACTGGAGAAAGGCTCAGATTAGGGAAACCCAGGAGGAACATGTACGGAAGGAGTTGACACTTGGAACGGCTACCAGAAGGCGGTAGCAGGGCAGGAGGACCGCAATTGAAGGAATAATTGCAGGCCGCAGTGGTATGGAGGTCAGCTGCTGGGCAATGGTAGCCGGGCTCGACAGGCCGGATTGAGAGTAGGCCTCAGGTGGAAACCGGTGCCTCAATTGATCCACATAGTGCCTCCACTCGGTTCCATCTGGGAGGGTGACCCTGTAAGAACAAGGACCAGTTACTGTGGTGATGGTGGCAGACACCCACTTTGGATCCCCAGAAAAACTCCTAGCCCAGACAAGGTCCCCATCCCTGAAACTGTGGGGAGGGGCCCACAGGATGCCAGGCTGTTCCCCAGAGTAGAGCAAATGCAATATATCCAGGTGCCGGCCCATCAGCAGCTCAGCAGGGCTCTTGTGTGAGATAGGGCAAGGGGTGGACTGCTGACCCAGGAGGTAAGCGGCCAGCCTTGCCGGCCAGTCCCTCGATCCACCCCCATAGTCCCCGCGTTTCCCGACAGGCCCTTCGAATCAGTCATCCTGAGATTGGAGTAGGCCCAGATCCCCCCAACACTTCTGCGAAGCACTCAGTGTGGGGGAACCCAGTTCCCATCCCAGTCTCACTTACACACCCAAACACTCACTCACTCACTCACTCCCCCACAAAAATTTTAAAATACAGCAATATAATATAAAAGGAAATTACACAAGTTAAAAAGTTAAAAAGTGTGGGATCATTCAATCAAATACATACGTACCACATGCACTCCCCATACAAAAAGAAAATTGTGCAGCTATTAAAAGATGTGCAAGTTCGGGTAAAGTTTGTAGGTGGGTTCGCAAAAAAAGTCCAGTC